AATCACACATACGCTGACCTACCATCTACCACACACTCCTTCTAAGGCACTTAACACATCAGAGTTTAGTGCCTGACATTATCTGCAGAGAGGGGAAGAAAAAGAGAAAAAAAAAGTGCAACATCAGCACTGCGTTTGTGAGCAAAGAGCAGCATTTCATTTTTTTTTCCTCCCCCATCTCCTGAGCCAACCGCAGAATCTAATCTCTGACATTAAAACACACATTAGACATAAAGGTTGAGTCGAGGTTTTTTAATATCTTCAAGTCTTTCAGTTTGTTTCTAAGCACGGCCTTCTTTCAAGTTTCTTTTTTTTTAACCTTTTCTCCATTAGTCAATCCTTTCCTTTTCTGAGCAGGGATATTTATATAAGATATAAGAACCTTGGCTCTTAGTGTCAGCACTTCACTGATTAACACCAACGGGTTTCCACAGAGATTTGATGGTGGTACTGCAAGTCAAAAATAAAAACTCGATTAGAGTTTATCTGTCACATGTTATTATTTATCAAGTTCTTCTTTATAAAAGCTAGCAAGAATGTGGCAAAATGTTTTTTTTTTCCAAAGTGTCAAACCTGATGGATTTTATGTTAAGTTTTATATGTAAGAAAATCTACTTTACTTTTATGACCAGAAACTAAGCTTTTTCAGAGATGGACTAAAAGCCATCATTCAATGAAATTTCAAGGGCAGCTTTAGATGCAGTACAACTGCTGACCATCAGGGGCTGTTAGGAAAAATGTTGCCATCAATTATACAGAAATGCTCTTTCAATATTTTTTTTACCAGAATAAAATCCCATAGAAATGTATTATTTGTCTATTAATCTTCTACAACTTTGTCATTTCTGCCTCGCCGGGGAAGATGGTGCCGATCTGGACAACGGTCTGGCGACAGTAGGGCAACACCCTGGGCAATTCAACACTATTCATCATGGAGCCACGTATAGAGGTAAACAAACGTTTACACCCACACCTTTGGACAATCTGTAGAAAACAATTTATTCCATTTCATGTTTTTCGTCTGTGGGAGAAAACCGGTGAACATACTAGAGGAACAGAAAAACTCCAGATAAAAAAAGACTAGGAATTAAACCAGTGAAGTGGAGGTTCTTTTTGCTGGAAGGCAAAAACACAAATCCCTCTTTCCCGATGTGGCCCAAAAACCAGAGCAGCTTTGTGATTCACAAACTCTGGGCTTAAAAGATGACAGTAAGTGGGAAATGAGAGGGTTGAGCCTTTTTTCCTCCAATATAATTCTCCCCTAACCTAATTACTTCTGTTTCTGATTGTTATGTAGTAAAAGACCCAATAAACAGCCTTTAAACAAAAACAGCGATTTTTGCAGAGAAATCCCCGAAAAGCCTCTAAAGTCTTTGGCCGTGCCTCGGCTCTCATCTGGAAAGTAATTCGAAATACATGTGGCTCTTCTGACTCGACAAACTAAGTGTACGAAGCACATTTGTCAAGCCATAACAGCTGAGTCTATTGGCAGGAAACAACAGAAGGAACTGGATGTGAAAATAGCTCTGTTACAGCTGTGATCACAACCTCTACACTTACGAGTATCACAGAATCAAAATGAGTCCCGTGACGGCAGCCAGGCAACTTTATTACTTAGCGAGTCAATAGCTTCTCCTTTTCTGGAGACATAAGACTCTTGAATGGTTTCCTTCCATCTTTCTCAGGGAGGGGAGTATTTTTTCTTATAATTAAGTCTGTGATGAAATGCATTGGCCTGCAGGCTGGGAAGATACTTTATCAGTGCGGAATTTCTGGCAGCCATTATGCGAGCAGGTATGAGAGCTGCCTCGTACTGCACTCGGTAATAAACCGATTCCACATTAGAATATTACATTCCCTGGCCCACACTGAATAACATCGCATTGTAAAATGGAGAAACCATTTTTTCCAGAATCATATTCCTGAGGCATATTACAAATTTCACCGTCTCCTACAAAAATAGTACTTCCCCCCTGATCAAAGAACCGACTGTGGAACCGACAGCACTCGACTTTCGGACTATTTCTCTGCTGCTCTTGCTTTTTTTAAAGATACAAAGGTTTGACTTTGTGAAACGGAGCAAGGAGAAAATTAACGGTGTTCATGTCTATTTTAGTAAATGTGGTGTTTTATATTATTTTATATCCGGCAAGTATGTTTTTCTCATAGGTACTTCAATTTAAAGTGATATCAAAAAGACAAACAAACTACTGAAAATTAGGTTGTAATATTTGTAAAATAAAGAAATATTCTAATAAACTTTTTCATTTTTCTATGCTTTGTTTACTTACTATTTCTTTTTGAGAGACGGAAAATTCTCTCTGATTTTTAGTATAATCTACCTTCATTTGCATTATTTATATAGAGCTACATTACATTTATAATATTAATCGTGTTATATATTATAGTATATTAAACCCTGGGAAATTTTTAAACCCCATTGAGATCACACCAAAGTAGGCCCACTGGGTGGCAGTAATGAAGCTAAAAAGGATGCCGACCGAAGAAAAACAATATGACATAGAGTAGGAAAAACCAAACAAAGAATCTAAATCCAAATTGGTAACTACTAGTTAACAATATCACCATAAGATTTAAATATTCCAATAAAACCTTTGCTTGTGTGACAGAATAAAATCTCAAGATTAAATCAAGATTTTAAGCCCAGAAACAAAAAGTACTCCTGTGGTAAAGTTGTACTTTGTATGCATCAGGGGAGAGTGTCACTTAAGTTTTCTAACAGTCTGATTTGAGAAAAGCAGCCACAGAGGTCAGCCAGCAGCTGGTGCTTTAAAACCCCAGGAGAACAGGTGGATTTTCTTCCTGTATCTAATCGTCAGTCAAAAGTCTCTCTGCATAAACATACGACTTGTTCTTGTCAAAATGTTTTGGCCGGGTTACAAGAGGAGACAGAAATATATCAACAATGTTCCAACACGTAGTAGAGGAGCGGTTGGTGCTCTTGCCTTACAGCAGTGGTTCTCAATTATCGTCTGTCATGCCCCCTAGGGGACAGACAGTTTTTCCACATGCCTCGCCCTGATTTGAAATATTATTAAGAACCTGAAAATATGTATTTTCTTATCTCTACTAACCACTGTGTGTGTTTTCTCCTACAGCTGATTAGGTTAGCTGTTCACTCTAAACTGAACATAGTTGTAAATGTAGGTGTGAATGGTAGTGAATTCTAGCCTATTTGTGGCCAACTGACGGACTGGTTAACCATCCAGACTGTAGGCGCAGAGACTGCTGGGATTGGATCAAACTCATCCATGAAGAGAAAAAACTGAACACCACTTCACAAATAACGGAGGGACAAAAGTATCTATAGCACCCCCTACAGGAGGAGGAGGAGCTATGTACATTTTTTAATTGGGTCTACATGTGGAAATGTCTCAAAAACATTTTTTTAATTTGAATGTGTTGCAAATGCTCGATTAAAAAATAAATCTGTAAACCTCTCTAGCAGTTTTTGAAAATTCTTGTTTACAACTGTTTAGGAAAAAAAAAAAGATGAAATGGGACAGATAAACAACCTCCGGCAGATAAGAATTACTCTGGCAAGTCAGGTTTGTGACTTATGAGTGTACATTTGATCCAGTTCCAAATCTAAAACTGACTCAAGCATCAGTAAAGTAAATAATGGAATGCGTCTGCGACCATCTGTCATATTGGGCCAAGATTCAAGGACACTGTGCTATCTCATTTTTTTCCCAAAGTAAGACTTAAAGAGGAAATGTGCTTTTTTGCTGATTTATGCTGCTGACCAAGATAAAAAAGGAGGGTGAGTGATCGCAGAGAGGTTTGCAGCATCCCCCCACTACCACCACCACCACCAGGTGACTTACTTGCTTTGTATGAGGGTGAGGGAGTCCGTCACAGCTCTGATCGTGTTTTGTGCCTCCACGTGAGTCATGTCCTCCGCATTGGAGTCGCTGATGGACACCACCCAGTCACCTACACCGACACCAGCCTGAGCGGCCTTGCCTCCTGGGGTCAGCTGGAGGAAAAAGAAGAGTCAAGCGTGAAAAAAAAAATTGTACAATTCTTTACTGATGACGTTATGTGAATAGCTTAACAAAGGCCAATATCTGCTTCCAGCATTACTGTGTCCCAGTGCAAAAAGCAGAGACCATGAAGAAATGCTTCGGTGAGTTTGGAATGGAATTTTTTTTCTAAATCTAAAAACCTCAAGCTTTAAGGTGTAGACACGGGTACCCTTATCTAAAAGTACAGATACCTTTGTTGGACAGAAAAATACCTTTTGTGTCCCAGTGAAACTTCTGGGATACCATATGTTTCTAGATATCAGCAAGTTCCAAAATGGGGGGCGTGGAGTTATTTCAGGGGAAGGGAGTAGCTATTCCAAGTTTTAAATTGGGGCTCACCAATTATCAGCATCCTTCTAAATATATGTTGGGTCCAAAATGGGGGCCATGGGCTTATTTCAGGGGAAGGGAATAGCTATTCCAAGTTCTAAATTGGGGCTCACCAATTATCAGCATCCGACCTCAAGGTCATATATTTTAAAAGTCCTTACCAGAGCCTCTCCATTAGGCTAAGTATTAATCTCACCATGAATGTACAATTCAGTACACACAAATTTATGTATTCTACAATTTCAAACCGAGAGCAAGACGGTTCCCTTTGTCCCCTGCAGAGGGTGCCCTAAACACTACACGAACATTTTATCCCACGAGATTAAATTCACCAAAACTATGTTCGCTTTGTATAAATTGAATCCCTAACTCCATCAAACTGTTCCCACTGGAACAAGTCATACATTTTACTTACTCTTAAACTTCCAAAGTTCTAAAAGTGTAGGTGTCGCTTTCCACGCAGCGTATCAGTAAACCTCAAAGCGAGTGCAGGAAATCTACAGCTCTCTGAAGTCTTGTGTGTTTGACTCTGCCGCAGCGTTCTGTTAGGACCACTTAATAATCACCTCAGGGAGTCTCTGCGTCTGGCTCCAACAAGCTGCTCGAGATATTTCACTCAACGCAGCCAGCAACAGACATTGCATGTCATCATGATGTCATCAGTCATCAGTGTGTAATTTGGTGCAGATGGAATTCGCTGAAAACCATATGTTACGCTGAGTCACACCATTTACAGGAACAAACCATCCACTTTTCCCCTCTCGAGACAGGTAAGTCATTGACCCGTGTCACTGACAAAAGCAAGACGTAACCCTGTTCTGGTGGAACACAGACTGCAGACACGCTGAGTCACAGCTTTGCAGGCGATAGGTTATGAACACGTAGAACATGCCCCAGTCTGCACAGGAAGTACATTCAATTGTAGTGGGTTGTGATGGTGGTTTTGTAACCGCGGACAAAGGCTCTAATTATTCAAAAATAAAATTTTTGGGAGAGTCGAAACATTTTTTTCTGTTGTCATAGAAACAACATGAGTTAACCTCAGTCTTGATATAAAACCATTGCACACACCCTTTATTGACCACCGCAGCAGTGACATGTTCATTCATGTTAGTTCGTGTGTGATACCGACGTGCATTGATAAACAAAAGAAACTAACGACTAACAACAGCCTTTGACAATCTTCAATTATTCACAAAGTACAATGGAAGCTTTGAAAAAAAAACACAAAAAAAACAGGCCTGTCAAATAATAATCTGATTAATCCCAGGGCAGCTTCCGATTAATTGCAATTTATCAGAATCAGACAAAAATATCTGCGTTAAAAAAAAAACTTAAAAGAAAATACATAAAACATAAATGCATAGTGGTAATGAAAATAATTATAATAAGGGGGGGGGGCATTTATAGATAGACTTGCACAGGGGCAGTGCCACGGTTTTTTTTTTTTGGTAATGGTTTTTGTCAGCTTCCCTGTGTGGCTTAATAAAAATCCACACTGGTGTCACATTTTACGATAACTAAGTACAAAGTGTTCAGGATCTGATAAAGGAGCCAGTGTTGGGATTTCTGGCAAACCTCTTTTGGGATTAGTCTGTGATGTCGCGGATTCCTGCCAATGTTAGCTCATCAAAAACTCCGAGGACCTAGAGGTTCAAATCAATACTTTTCTGCCACGTCACGGTGAATTATCACACTGGGGTACGACTTTGAATTTGCACTTTAAACATTTGGATATTTGTGAGCGAGAGAGAGAGGGGTAAAAAAAGGTGATACGGGGTGTAAAAATGACGACAGTGCAAACTGAATAACATCTCCGTGCTACGCGGTTTGAGCCAGCCTCGAATCAAACAGCAGCAGCAGAGATAAAAATAGGAGGGAATGCATTCCTCGTGGGCAATCCAAACTACACTTCTTTTACTGCCCAGTTTGAACATTACATTTACTGCATTTGATTTGCACAGTGGAAGCAATTAAAGTTGAAAAGAAATCATTCCCCCAGTTTAGAAAAGGCTTCAAAGAGTTCAAACAAATTACACTGGAGGAAAGCATCTATGGTATGGACATGTGACGTATCCTTAAAAAAAAACACAGAGAGAGAGACAGCCTGGCATCGTGCCACAGCTGCAGAACTGCCTTCATTTTTTGACTGGTTATACCAGCTTGTAAAACCTTAGTACCTTAAGGTACAACAACAATTACTGTGTTAGTTTTAAACAACAACTAAGCAACAGAAGCACCACCAGAGTCTCCAGGGAAAGTAACACATTAGAAAGTCTTTAATCTCCGGAAGACGCAGTACATACAATCACTGTATGTAAATATGGGAAGAAACACAACGCATTAAAAATATGTTGACCTGAAATCTCCCCAAGGAGGCAAGAAGAAGACTCAACATCAAAGGTCTGGTGTTTAAACACCAAAGAAGAAGTGAGGTAGGAGAGTTAGCAAGATTCTTTGACTTTAAAAAAAGCCTCTGAGGATACTTGATAATGGAAGCGATAAATATTTTTTAAAAAGAAAATGAGTGAAATGCAACTTGGACATTAACATGTGAAGGTGTAGAGTGGTCAATGTTATGGTTTAAGGACCAACAGGGCAAGGGGTACAGCTCCACAGACTGGCTAGCGCTCAACCATTAGCATACCCAGCCAAAATCCAAGAAAAAAAAAAAAAGAAATGACTTGATTTGAGTTTCAGGGTTTAAAAATATCACATATATTTAGAATTATATTTGCTTATAAATTAATTGAGTATTGTAATCACACACAAATATTTGACATGTGGAGAGCTGTGTGTCTCAATCAGGCGCCATCTGCGTTTGTTGACATCATTTTTCTTGTTCCAATAAGGTCTTTTTTCTGTTTATTCGCAGCCACATAAACAGAGCTAGTACATTAATCTTACTGCATGCCAATATCTCCCATTTGATTGACAGATCTGCACAATCGGTGACATCACAGGCACAGAACCTGCTGTCGACGCTCGTTTGAGGCAAGTTCACTCTTTGCCGACCAATAAATATCAGTTGAGAGACAAAGAAGTGAATATAAGAACCCGGACGGGCCCTGGAGCTTGTATGTGCACGTACAAGCAGCACCCCATGAGTTGAGTTAGTGATGGACACAAACACCTGTGCTCCTGGCTCAGGTTCAGAGTGCAGCTGCTGCCTCACTTGAGAAGGCTGCCGTTAAAGTTGCTGCGCTCAGTCCTTTGGTTGGTAGGAGGCCGACAGAAACCTTACACCTCCCCCAGCAGTTTGTCAATACACCGAAGGACAGTGGAAAACACGTATTTGACCAAACTTACTTCGCTGCACCTCGCAAAACGCAAAGCTGTAGCACCGTTGATGTATGACGACATCACAGTGCGCTGAGTCAGCGCCTCTGATATAAGCCGTCCAATAAGAAAAATGGCCTCATCCTGTCAGGAATGACTTGGTGCAAACAAGATTGGACCTCATTTTATACCAGTTGTATCATTTTTTTTATTTATGTTTTTTTTTTTTGAAGACTAAAAGTATTCACAACTGCAACATTTGCTTCAATGTCAGTTTCAGAGCTTTTTTTTTTTTTTTTTTGGCAAAGCTGTGGATTGATGTCCTTCTGGTAAGATATCATATTTCAAAGAATTAGCCAGCCTTTCAGAGTGCAACATCTTGAATTCACTTTTGAAGTGCTTTCAGTGACCGACCTAGGGGGTGAGCCAGGGTCCCTCGTTCTTGCTCTCAGCTGGAAGGAGCTTCTTTTTTTTGATTAAAATAATAATACTCTTGCTTTTATGTACAGCTCCGGATATATTGGTCGTGTAATTCTGCACCAGCTCACTTTTATTCTTTCCACGGCTATTTGGGGGCCGCGAGACACCCTGTCCTTACATCACTCACACAGCACAGCTGATGCAAAGCCATAAATACCCCTCTGAGAAATGGAAATCCAAACCTTCAAGTATGTGTTTGCCCCGTTATGACTGCAGTGGTTCACCTAGCGGCACCAACTCACCCTAAAACACCACAGCTCTGATCACAATATGAGATGTTTACATCTTAAGAGCATCATAAAAAAAATAAAAAACACTCCCTATGGGCAACCCATCTGTAAAGAACTGCATTATTAAGCCACCCCCTCTTACCCCACCCCACCACCAGGGCTCACTTCACCTAACTTTGCCTTTGCAATGAGTCTAAGTGGTGACGTTGAACGGGAGGCGTACGGCTCGGCACCGCAGCAACAGAAGGCAGAAAAGCCAGACGAACCTTTAGACAAGATTTAGTGACACGTCCAGCTGCGGAGGCTGAAAGATGACAAATTTACAAATCTCTGCGCTCACATGTTGGCATGACATCATCGGTAATTTCCTGTGAACATTTGATTTCTGTGGCATGCCAACAGAAACCAGATGGTAACATAATGTTTATGCAATCACTAGTACAAGATCTGAGGCAGATAAGTGAAGGAACGTCCCAACAGGGGGTTCAGGGCAGAACCAGACTGTGGTATGCTCGAGTGGAACCGAGCAAACAGGACTTTTTTTTTTTTTTCCCTAATTTTATGCCTGAAACAGAATCTTGGCACAAACGCGTGGAAAGAGACTTCATTTGACGTACGAAAACTACCATCTTCAGTCAAAGAACAAACATGATAATGGTGTGGGAATAGTTCCCAACATGGTAATGGCAGCGCGGGCAGTTTCTGAAGGCAGAATCAAAGAGACCAGAACTCAATGGGCAGTGTTATGATTCTAGAAGAGCAGCTTTTAAAAAGAAAGGACAGACGAGTCCAAGACATGGATGAACTTTTGACTCGCATTTCAGAGAATAATCCTGACAATGACTTGATGTTAGAAACTCTAATATATCTATTAAAAATGTTACCATTTCAACGCAAACCATTTTCAATTGTAACTCATGTTAATTTCTATGAATATACAAACATGCGACAAATGCCTAGTCCTATCAAAAGACAAATGGGTCATGTTAAGAACTTACAAGTAATTTACTGCAACTACGGTATATTTTTGAAGATTTTTGAAGTTTGGCTGTGCTATAAGCCAAATATGCATTTATTCTTTTTTTAGGGGGGGTCTAAATCCAAAATACCTTGGACTCATGTCAATAATGTGTAGAAAAATGGGGAAAAAAAATTTAAATTAACTAAAATAAACCAAAACAGTTCACATCCACCTGCAGTGAACCATTCTGGTTCATTTGTTGGATCCTGTGCTAGCTTGTAGCAGAAGCTTTGCAGCCTCTCTACCTCAATACAATTTCTTATTTTCCCCTTTAAAATCGGAATTTTGCCACTGTGCAGTATTGAGTAAGTCTGACTCTAGTTGAATACCAGTGATTACAAAAAGTCCAAATCCCGACAAAAATGCCTCTGTACAAAAGGCATCTGCCTTGTTCAGACTAGGATTTGTATTTCCTTCCACATTCAAACAACATAGAGATGGTTCCTGTGAAGCACAGTGTGGTGTTCTGTTACACGCTGGGCTTTGACCAGTTTTATGAAGACAGTTTTATTAGTTTGACTAAAAAAAAAAGGGACAAAGTAAATTCTCAGTTGAAAACTTCTCAAACCTAAAACGTCTGTGAGGAAGTTGACGAGCGCCAAGAAGTGGGACAGTGTTACAGAAAAGTGTCAAAAGTTATCTACATAGTTTTCACTTGATAAATGGCTTTATTCATCTTGTGATGGGTCAAAGCGTGACTTTACAGTTTGTCTTGGCCTGGTCTGCTTCTCTCTGAAGTCACTGCAGAAGTATTCCACAGAGACTGGGGGAGTCCATCACGTGGATTAGCAAAGCCAGTGTGGAGGACATGTGGACACAGAGGGGAGACAAGGAGATGGTCTGTTGGCAGTGACCGGGGTGGACACATAAAAAATCTCAGGAATGCTGGGGAAAACACGCTCGGGGATGGAGGAGGAAGGAAAAGAAACATGAGCGTTGGCAGAGCGAGGAAACTGAGTGACGCACAAGCGGGTGATAAGTCACCAGACTCGCGGCTTTCCAGGTTCATAAAAGTCGATGAGAACAATAACTACTGTTACTTTTTATCAAATAAATTATGACACAACCTCCAGCCTGTGAGACTAAATATAATTTAACTAAATCATTACTGTGTAAATCCTGTCCAATCGTCGTCTCGTTTTCCGCCCCTAAAAAACACTTGGCAGATTGATTCCTCCTGACTTACTGCTTACACTCTGTATAACCAACAGCTTCCAACAAGGTTTTTGTCCCGTCATTACACATGTTCCTCACTGCGTAATCTCTTTTAGCCGACTGTCAGAGTCCAACTACTTATCCCATCAAGTGCTAGTCTGTGAAGGATGAGACCACACATTAAAGTCATCGAACCTAAGCTCAGTGAGTACATGCTTGACTTTTCCTCCCGTTACTCGGGGATACTGTATATCTCCCCCGGTTTAGATCCCTACGCTGAGCTGTTTCCACCCACCCTGACTGTGTGATTCACTGTCTAACTTTTTATGACAAGCTGGAGGAGAAGCAACAGTCCCTGAAAGGTAAAAAAAAAAGAGAGAACATGTCACATCCTCATTACTCCTGCACACCCTGAGGCCTGGGTCACATAGATATTAGCCACTGACCGGTTGTTAGGCAGGGGGGAAAAAAATTGGTTTTATTTTTTCCATCAGACTGGGGGCAGCTGTGAATCTTACATGAAACTGCCTACGTTGACCAGAGGTCTGACAAGATATATGGAAAGGATGGTGCAATGTGTGAAACACATTCCTGCCTCAGCAATGAAAGTATTCAGCATAAAATGTGCATTTTTCTTTCCACCAAAGTCATAGTATGATGAGCCACTAATGGCACTGAGGCATAAACTGGTATTTGGACATATTTTTGGGAGGGATGGGGGCATTTAATTAAAAAAAAAAAAAAAAAATTCACAAAAGTCATGATAAAGCGTGCTGTTTCAGGTGATTATTTTGTTTGTTTTTATTTTTTATTTTTGTGCAAAAGTAATAATTTAGTAATAATTTTTATTTCTAATAAAATAGTTTTTCAGCCATTTTTTTTGTCATCAGTCATGGTATTCTATGAGGACCAGGTAGAATGTTTTTGACATTTTTAATCTTTTTTTTTTTTTACAATTTTGCACATAGTTATAGTATTTTGGGTTTGTTGGTCAATTTTATTGATACTCCAAACTATGCATTTACACAGGTAATTCAAGACAGCTCTTTCTCACCTATTGCTGATAATTCAAGACAGCTCTTTCTCACCTATTGGCCATTAAACGTCAGACCGTGTGCCAACAAAAACATGTCCTTTGTTTTGGAGTTTTGGTCGAATTACATTACAGTGACATCTGTTTGTCTTTATACTTGCATATGATCGTGATTCTTGTGAGGCATCTAAGGAGGAACATTGTGTTTTCGGAATGCTGAGCCTGTCGTTGAGTGCAGCAGAAACAAGACAAGTACTGACAAGGCCAATGAAAACTGCTATCCTCACTATGGTATTACTCACACCTCAACGTGATGTTGCTGTCACACAGACACATTGTATATACAGCTGTCTAAGCAGAGCACCGCACTACAGTTCGTCATTCCGCAGCCGTTTTTCGGCTCATTATTCTTCAATTATGCAACTGTTCTTGGTCACAACTTATAAATAAGGGCCTGACCGCATGGATAAATGTGCACCGATGACAGTATTTTATGGCTGCTGGTAGGAGTGGAGAAAGAACTGACGGTAAATACTCACTATATAGCTATCAAAACCCAGATTATTTTTGACATAGTACACTGTAAATGTTTAACAGAGGAGATAAATTCATATGCAACCCAGTCTAGAAGTTATAGTCCACACAGGCTGCTGTCTAACAATACCAGTGGAGAATAGGGGTATAGTGAAATACCAGCTCTGTGTGGCCAAAACTGGAACGACTTTTATACGCCTGAGCATACGTGTGCTACTGCGAGAACGTGGCTGTGTATTTGTCAGGCAAAGCAGTAGCAGCCTTGTACATATAAGGCCTGGAAAGTCATTGGGACTCTCTTCAATAACAAAGGCAGTTTATAGCGTATTTGTAAGGTCATTCAGTGTAGACATAATGACCCAAGAAGGAGAGAGAACACAGCGCCACAAAACAACTGACAGTAAGTCAGTGAGACCAGTGAATACTTTTAATCCACAGTCTGAAAAAAAAAGCCAACAAGTTCCAGAGAAATAATTGCCTGGTCTCATGTAGCTATGTCAATATTTTTTTTTTCGGATTACAATCCTAGTTTCAACATTATCTATCACATTGTTTCCAAAAGACTGGGTCAGGACCCTGAGGTGGGTCACGAGAGATTTTTTTTTTTTGGGTCGTCTCGCATTTTGTTTCCCAGGAGTTTACGAATAATGTCTATTGACTTTTTTTTTTTTTTTAAGTTTGGGAAACACTGATCTATCAGATGTAGTTGCTGCATGCTAAGGAAAAGGGTGCTCTAACTGCATTTTAACCTCCTCTTTTTTGCCTTCAGTAAAAAAGGATACTTCTGTTAGCTGTTCAGCGAGTAGCCGTCACAACCAAAAAGCATTTTAAAAGCAGCATATTTCAGGTTAATGAGTAGCCGTCACAACCAAAAAGCCAAAATTTTAAAAGCAGCATATTTCAGGTTAAATAAAGGCTTTAATAAGGCTGCCGTTTTTGACCATTGTGTCGCTGAACACCACTGTATCTGCAGATGTTGTTTACTAGTCCAAGTGCACTTCTTTAGCAGACCCCAGGCCAAAGGTGTTTATGTCATTAGCTGTTAGTACAGAAGCTAAACAGTCCAGGACGGACAAATATAACAGACGAGCGGCTAAAGAGAGTCGCAGGTTCGGTGGTTCCCCAAATATGCCGTTTTTTCCATTGTGGCATCTCTTGATTCCTAGTACAAGAGGAACCTGACTGCTTATTCAGTTGCCACTTTTTTTTTAGAAGTAAGTATTTGTAAGTAACACAGAAAGGAGCTAGTTTACGCAACACAACAAGACTGTGAACAGCAGGTGTGTATGTGTTTTTTGGAGACTCTTGGTACTTTTGAATTTCTAAATATCTCTGCAGGTTCAACGTGTCACATAATCATCACTCATCGTATTTTTTACAATCTATACAACCCAATCTTCCACGGACTCAAAAAAATTGACTTTTAAAGCTAGTTTTTAAGATAACGGTAACAATGAGGCGAAGAACTCTGCGATCACAAAGGGCAAGGAAACACAAAAGCAGATGACAAACACTTCCTTACCCTTGACACGGTGAGGGGCATGCTGAAGTCCTTTCCACCCTGCAGCCTGAAGCCCCACGGCGCTGGGCCGATGAGGGTTACGGAGTATACGTTCATCGCCTTCAGGAAGACAAAGAAGGAAACGCATTCAAAATCCAAACATCCCATTTTCCTTCACCATTTTGCTGCCTGCTGCTTGTCGGCAACTGTCTTACACAAACATGTGTTCGGTGTCTGTGTGGATTAAATCTTGAATAACTTTGCTGCATAAAAAGATTAAATATGCCCTTTGGTAAAAAAAAAAGAAAAGAATGAATTTTCCTCTAATATTTGCAGATGAGAAATACCAGCGGTGCCGTGCTGCCGGGACACGGGACTCAAACATTTATCAGACAAACTAATGGGTTGTCATCCCCTGTGTTCTATTGTGAGGAGAACATTTATACACAGGAACAGTTGAAAGTAAACTAAAGTTTACTTCCACACAAAATGAGTAATACAGCCAACGTCGGCATCATTAATCACACGGACGTAAGGAACGGCGGCGATATTCAACAATTACTTCTTTTTTTTTTTCGGTCGGTGACTGGAGGAGGAAACTCGTTTTAATCACTTCATCATTTATTCATTCAAAATTAATTAGAATCAAACACAGGCGCACTTCCCACGGAAATACAACTGGCCTCGATATTTATTAAAGTTTAACACTGTTACTCCAGCTGTGCAATCATAAAAAAAAATGTCCTGACCGTCTCCTCACATTAACAGTGAATGACATGGCACTAAATAACCTGGGAATTTTAAGAAGCAAGAGCAACTTGAGACACAGGGCCGTGTCACCGGTGCTAGCTGGAGTTTTACAGCTGTACTACTGACCCCTGTACCTGAACCCCCCGACCACCGCTGCCACTCCTGCAGCCACATTCCTACCAGGTGTCACTGCCCTTCTTGACACACTGCCAGGCACCAAAGACACCCCAACACGCCAGACCTACCTTGTCCTCAAGGTCCGGCCACTAGCCCAAACCTGGGAGTTCAGTAAGCTGGGGCAAGCAGATTCTCTCTCTGTTGGCAGAGCCTACTCCGCCTCGACACTGTCTGTGACACAGGCAAGCCCTAGCCTCTCCTCACTCCTCAGAGGCTATATAAGGAATGTAAAACTACACCAAACTATTTCAGCCCAACACCCACATGAGTCACAGAGAGGGGGGGAGTGAAGGAGAAGGAGGAGGACGGAGCTAGGCAACATCAGCTAACCCCTATATTCTGGCTCCTGCGTTGAAAGTAAAGGCATCTATGAACGCAACATAACATGAAACGCATTAGAGAAGCAGCGGGCGAGCGCCGCTGAAATGAAACCCCGGGACCTTTTTCATGGACTTTTCACATTCTTTTCTATTTGGGGTGGGGGGGGGGGGGGGGAGGGAAAGCCAACCAG